CTGCGGCGTTCCCAGTACTGACCTCATCTGTCCCCTCCCCCACCACTCCCTTCAGCTTTTGCACCCTTTCTTTCCATACACACACATACCATTATTTTTTGGGCCATTACCCCATTTCCCTTATTGCTGCCAAAACCACATGGGCCGGGGGCTGGGGCTGGACAGACAGATACCTCCCCTTACCCATACCCCCTCCTGTGTGTGTTTGGGAAAAAATTGTTTTTGGTTTTTTTTTTTTCTGAATAAAAAAGATTCTACTAACAAGGTCCTGTGTGGTTTTGCACTTGGGGTATTAGTTGGAGACAGGCACTGTGGCCCATGCCACTGAACTTAGCTATTTGCTTCTTGGCTGTGTCCAGACTGAACTCTTCGCATTCCTTTCCATTCCATTTTTCTGCTTTTCAGCCCCCAGGACTAAGTAGGTATTCTTCCATGTACCCAGTCGGATGGCCTGGGCCCCTCTATAGTCTCTTTCCCTTAGAGGCTCAGTTGACTCTGTAATGGAACATAGCCATCCAGACAAGAGAATGGGTCCAAGCCTGCGGGTGAGGCAGGGCTGCTTGAGTCATCTGTGTAGGTGGGGCTTCCCTCCCTGAGTCATACCAAATGCAGCTGGGGCTGTCCCCTGACAAGTTAATCTCATGAAGTGATTCTTTTCCACAATTTCACCTGTATAAAAATGATCTTAATACCCTTTGTCCACAAAAACAATTTTATTAACCCAAGAAGTGAAGACCAATGTCCTATGGCTCCCAGCCACCTCAAAAGAGGGGTTTGAGAACCTAAGGTGGAAATGTCCCCTATCCCTTAGCTTATTAAGACTGGAGGAAGAGTTTGTGCAAATAGGATCACCAGAGGTGCCAAGTGTAGGAAGTTTCAGGCCAGGGCAGCAGATGAAGGAGAGGGTGAGGGGTCTGTAGAGGGCCCAGGAAAGACCAGGGGTGTTGGGTCTAGGGATCCAAAGGAGGTGGGAAGAGTAGGGCTAGAGCCCAGGAGTGGGGTCCACTCTGAAGCAGGTTGGTCCCTTGGCTCCCCTTCTTCATCACCTTCCTCTTGCCCCTGAGTCTCTTCCTCCTGCTCTTCATCCCCAGGACCCCGATGGACAGGATGTTTGCAGATGGGGCAAGTCTTCCGGGTCTGAGTGAGCCAGGGGTCCACACAGCGGCAATGATAGGCTATGGAGAGGGGTATGTGAAGCACCTGGTCTCTGCAGATGGGGCAGGGGCACAGGCAAAGGTAGTGGTCTCACCATGAGCACAAGGTAGTACCCGAAGCTTGTCCCCATCCTCATACTCATCCAGACAGATGGCACAGACATCATATTGATCTCCTGGGAGAAGGAATGGATTCACTGAGCCATTTGGAGCTCACTATGGGAGGTTAGAGTTAAAACCTATAACGATTGCTTTTCTAGATTTTACCAAGCCAGTGCAAGCTCTTAGGGCAGGACACAGAAAAACTTGGGGCTAGAGGGGGCAAGGAGAGATAAGAAGGGAAGTGGGCTGGGGGGAGGGTAGGAGGGGGAAAGCAGAAGTGGGAGGGACAAGGCTTCTGCTATAGCCTTATATGGCACTGAGGCTCCAGGGCTAGATAACCCAACCCCTCACCTGTTTTGAGTCCTCCCAGCTCCTTAGATCTTTCTACTCCATTCGCTCACACACAAGGTCAAAAATTTTACTTGATCATCTTTGCATTCTAGCTCCCGCTCTACCCATTTGCTTGTGGTTGGCAGTGTGTAAGAGAAGCAAAAATGTCATCTTCTAACACCTCACTGCTCTTTGTACCTCTTTAAGATGGGCCCTCTTCCCATGCCCTTACCCTTTTGATAGTCATGGGTAGGAATCTGTTTCAGTTGCTCTTTGGTAAGTCGGTTCCGCTGGAGCCGTTTGCGGTGCTGGATACAACGAACTATCTGGGGGTAAAAGGAAGAGTGCACTAGGGTTTAAGAAAAAAAAAAATGGAAAATCCAACAACCACCCCACTTCCCATCTCCAGACCCAGTCTGGTCTTCTAAGTTCTTCCCATGGCTACTTACCAGTACTGCTCCCATGGCTAAAACCAGCAGTCCTACGATCCCAGTGAAAGGAATGAGATAATAGCCCAAGGGGAAGCTACTGTCTGGAACCAGAAGCACGCGAGCCCTGAGGAAAAAAGACAAGCCTCAAGCCAAGCAATACCAGGTAACTGGATTGGGAGAAGGCATGGATGAAGTGAAAGGAAAAAAGGTGAGTAAGGACCTGAGCCTGTGTGGGTAGGGGAGTGAGGCCTGGGTTCTAGGCTGCCATGGAAAGGGTGGGAGAAGAGTGGGAAAAGGCATATGTCCTACCCCTTCTCATAGACAAAAAGTGCTCGTAGGTACTCTGCGCTTCTCTCTCCGATAAATACAGATGGGATCCAAATCTGCTGTTGGATTTCCTCTGTAGGGAGCAGGAGAGTAGGGATTTAGCCTTCCACTCAATTCCCTGGAACTGGCATTTGACACTCTTGCCCACCCCACCCACTGAACTAGTCTCTAGGTCTACTGACAGCCCAGTGGCACGGACTCCCCAGCCTTACCACTATTCCACACCATGTTCAGAAGCTCATTGGACTTCACGTTGTGTACCACAGCTGCACCATACCCGGCTTTCTGAGCATTTAGGACCTAAGGAGACAGCAGGGAGAGGAGTCATAACCCTTGCCTTTCCTCACTCCCAGTGTCGTTTACCCTGCTTACCAGCTCCCATTCCACATTTAGCAACCTTGAGGTCAAAGTTGCAGTCGAATCTTCGAAGCAGTGCAATAAAGACTGACCCGTTGATCGGGGCTGAGGGTGGCGGGGCAATGGGGCTGCAGGCATTTTCTGGGTGAGCCTCCACAAGGAACCCCTGAGGGACAAATGCAAACAGTTGGATTTTCCATCTTTACATTCTGCCTCCCACAGGGCCTATCAAGCATAACGCTACACACGCGCTATCTGTACTCTGCAGCTCTACCCTCATTACATATTCTTGAGGTCTGAGCATTCCACTCAAATCAGAATCTACATCTCAGGTGATGCATGCATTTAATCCCAGACCTGGAAAGCAGAGGCAGGCAGGCAGGCAGGTCTTTAAGTTGGAGGCCAGCCTGATCTACACAGAGCTCATGACAGCCAGGGTTACACAGAGAAACCTGTCTAAAAAACCAAACGAAAAGCGGAATCTACGTCTCTCAGCTTCCTGAAGATGCAATTACAGCACACAACATCCCTTTACCAGAGGCTCCCTCGACTTCTCAAATTCTAGACTAATTTAGTTCTCTTTTTTTCCCCCAGTTCCCCACTGATAATTCAGCTTGCTACTTGTTCATGCCATTTTCACCAAATTTTTTCACATTCATCTTTAAGTACAAAGAGCACATTCTATTTGCTTCATTTTCCAATTACCCATCTTACAAACAACTCTATTGCTATCTGTGGTCCAACTGAGTTCTTCCTATGTGGCAAGAACTCTGTAAGAAACTACAGACATGCTTACTTCACTGACTAGTTAACACAACAGCTCTACCTTAACTTCTAGGACCCATTTTACTAAGGGTCACAGAAAGACCGTCCACAGCCGTCCATACAAACTGTAAGTAGCTCTAGAGACGTGACTGATAAGCACCTGCTCTTTATCTTAATTCACTCGGCAGTCTCCCTCTCAACTTTGACAGTTCTAGGACACTGCCTTCTACCTCTAGACTCTGGACTCTATTTCTGTATTGGGCATGGTCATGTCCTTTGGTATTTGGAGTGGGGGGACTGTGTTGTTGGTTATTCAATTTCACTACGTTAGGTGGGCACCCTACCACTGGGCTCTAGCCACAGCCCAATGCATTCCGTTACTAACTCGACTATTTCCTACCTCCAGTTTGATCCAGAGCAGGGCTACTCAACCCCTGCCCAGGATAGAGACTATACGGAAACGAGCGCATCACCTGGAGTCCCTCCTCGCTCAGGGAAGCCCCAAACAGAGCTGGGAGGTCTGCAAAGTCCATGCTGGCATTGTGCTCGGAGATCTGCAGACAAAATAATCCGTTTTTTCTCTTCATCCTGAACCCCCTTTACAGCGCCCTTCCCCCATCCGACCCTTAGACTCACCGCTCGAATAAGCCCTCGGATAGGGGATGCTCCCCACAGCACAGTAGCCACAACAACAGGAAGCGGGAAGGCCGCAGGGTGCATGGCAGCGGGTGTGTGTGTGTGTGTGAAGTTGAGGAGGTCGCGTCCTGATAGTAGGAGGAGAAGCCAAGTTCTGCGCCCTCTCTGCCTCTCCTTAAGGATCCCAGGGGTCCAACCACCCCCAGGTCCCACTTCTCAGCTACATGGGGACGTCGGGGAAAGAACTGCGACTCAGGAAGTAAGGGATAAAACCAGCTTAGTGGAGCTGGGAGGGAGACAATATATCTTTCTCTGATGCAGAAATAAAACCGAGAATAGAAGACAAACAGGTAACAGAAAAACTTCAGGAAGGGTGGGGGAAAACTCAAAGAGGCGGGACTTCCGGCCAGGTAGGCTGTCTTCCGATCCCCCTGGAAAAGGGTTTCCGGTAAAGAAAGGCCGCTTCCAGTATTGAACGCTCAGGACGGAGGACTTCCGGTCCTAAAAGGCCGGCCGAAAGAGAGTTCCTGCAGAGTCGGAGGGAGCTCCGAGGCCCAGAAGACGGTCTAATTTTTTTTTCCCCTCAGCGCCCGAGATCGAGGAGCTGCCCTGTTTACAAACCTCTCCTCCACCTGGTAGCTGCGGTACCTTCAAATATCGCGAGAGCGCTCATCACCTTCTCCACCACCACCACCCACTCTCTCGCCGTGGAAACTCGCGAGAAGCCTCCTAGCCCTAACTGGGCTGACTTACTCGTTCTCGCGAGATTTTCAAACAAACTAGTTTCCCGCGATTCCAGTTCGGGAAGGGTGGGAGACGCAGAGTGGCTTCCTAAATCAGCAACGCCCCTTCACTCACGCATCCTAGCCCCGCCTCATTCCCGGCCGTCCTTGCGGTACGCGCCTGCGCTCCTCCTCCTCCCCCCACAGCTTCTAGCTGGAGCCGGACTTGCCTGTCGAGGGGCGTGCGCGCGCGCGCCCTCGCCCTGTTGCGCGCTGGTGTCACCTTGGGCGCGAGCGGGGCTGTGCGTGCTCGGGACCCAAAGTCGAGGGCCATCAAGGGGAGATGGCGGCAACGGCGAGTCCCGGGGCTGGCCGGATGGACGGGAAGCCCCGTACCTCCCCTAAGTCCGTCAAGTTCCTGTTTGGGGGCCTGGCTGGGTAAGCTCAGGCCCCAGGGATAGGGAAAAGGAGAAAGGGACGGGCGCAAGCAACTGGGTCCAGGGCATCTCGGGGTATGTTGCAGTAAATTGAGCTGGTGCGGGGTCACCATGATGTCCTGAGATTTGCGAGGTGCCTGATGGCCTGCCAGGACCTAGTCACCCATTGCAGGGTCATTGCCCCGTGTTTCCAACCACCATTGCTCCACTGTGCATGTTTGTGTTGTGGATCTAGCTTGGGGTGGGTCCTAGGTTGTGGATGCCCTCTCCACCCCTCCTTAGGCTGCCTGCAGTACAGTTCTGCTCGAACTCTAAGGAACTGCCTGAAGCATTTTGATTTGCATGGTTCTTACTGGACAACTGGACTTTTTCTGGCACGTTGCCTTCCGTGCACACCTTTACGCACATACCCACCAGCCTCCTGAATCTTTAGCTGCCCCTCAGACCCTGACCCTTGTAACTTTTTGCTGCCGGGTTGCAGTAGACACTGGTCGACCTGGACCAGCCGACCTGACTCCTTGCCTTACTGCCTCACTTCAGGATGGGTGCTACAGTTTTCGTGCAGCCTCTGGACTTGGTGAAGAACCGGATGCAGTTGAGTGGTGAAGGGGCCAAGACTCGAGAGTACAAAACCAGCTTCCACGCCCTCACCAGCATCCTGAAGGCAGAAGGACTGAAGGGCATTTATACTGGGTACTGGGGCCTCAGTTTGGGAAGGGAGGCTGTGGGTTGGCAGGTCCAGGCCTTGGCCTGATACGCGGTGCTGACATTTCTCCTCAGGCTGTCAGCTGGCCTGCTCCGCCAGGCCACCTACACCACTACACGTCTTGGCATCTATACTGTGTTGTTTGAACGCCTGACCGGGGCTGACGGTACACCCCCTGGCTTTCTGCTGAAGGCCCTGATTGGCATGACGGCAGGTGCAACTGGGGCATTTGTGGGGACGCCAGCAGAGGTGGCGCTTATCAGGATGACTGCCGATGGCCGGTGAGTTCCAGGTCTAACCCCAGCCCCATTCCTGGAATGTAGAACGAAAGGATTAGGTTTTACATATTTTTGTTAGCCAAGTTGTACATCAGGACACGGACCTGCTCGGGCCTCCCTTTCTTTGTTCCTATGGACCCTGAACGGTCCTGACCGTGACTTTTCCCTGCCCTTTCCCCAGGCTTCCAGCTGATCAGCGCCGTGGCTACAAAAACGTGTTTAATGCCCTAATTCGAATTGCCAGGGAAGAGGGAGTCCCCACTCTGTGGCGGGTGAGCAAAGGGGTTGGAGTCCCAGGGGGTGTAGGGTCAAGTCTCTGGCATTTTTGACCCTCTCTCCATTGCCTCCATCCTCTCGCCTCAGGGTTGCATCCCTACCATGGCTCGAGCTGTCGTTGTCAACGCTGCCCAGCTTGCCTCCTACTCCCAATCCAAGCAGTTCTTGCTGGACTCAGGTGAGAGAGACCCAGAGCTGAATACTCCATGCCCAGTCCAGCCTGAGCTACCTGAGAGTTGACTGCCACCTTCTGCTCCCCCTCCCAGGCTACTTCTCTGACAATATTCTGTGCCACTTCTGTGCCAGCATGATCAGTGGCCTCGTCACCACTGCCGCTTCCATGCCTGTGGACATCGTCAAAACTAGGTGAGCCCGTAGCCTGGGATTGGAGAACTTTCGGAGGGCCTTCTTTCTTTCATGCACGTACTTCCTCTTTTTCAGGATCCAAAATATGCGAATGATCGATGGAAAGCCGGAGTACAAGAATGGGCTGGTGAGGAAGCGGGGCGGGGGGCTTGGGTCAGAGTGTGCGGGTGCCCTGGGAGGGCTATGAAGGGAGCTGGGTATAGAGGCCACGTCCTAGCCCAGCGCCTGCTGCCTGTCTGTCTAGGATGTTCTGATGAAAGTCGTCCGCTACGAGGGCTTCTTCAGCCTGTGGAAGGGCTTCACACCATACTATGCCCGACTGGGCCCCCACACTGTCCTCACCTTCATCTTCTTGGAACAGATGAACAAGGCCTACAAGCGTCTCTTCCTCAGTGGCTGATGTGGCAAGCTGCTGGGACTAGAGTGCCAGGGCCCCCAGGCCACCCGCTGCTCCTACAGTCAGTCGATGTGCCCCGGGGGCCTGGATTCTGCTACCCTGGGCTCCTCTATTTATTTTCCCTCTACAGTGTGGTTTACTCCTTTGCGGTAAAGAACTTTAATCTGTTCTAACCCTGCTCCAGCTTGCCGTGCCTGGCCTGATGCTTAGGATCATTGTCCCTGGCTAGTCCTAGGAGGACTTGAGAAACTTCCCTAAGGATTTCCAGTTATCTCTTGGGTATTAGTTTCAGGGCACACAAGACAGCAGACCTCTCTCTCTGGAGAAACCAAGACAGAGCTGAGGAGACAGGAGAGAGTAGAAGTTATCCAGATGGCCAAAAGGGTCTATGGTGGATGTGGCTTCCTCCTCTCTGAGGACGAAATTAATAAATTGGATTGATAACACCAACCCCAAATCTGGATAGTCTTGAGGATCCTAGGGGGAGCTAACTGCACAAAGAAGCTGATGTCTCTGGAAAACAAACTGGAGTTTTTAACAAAAAAAATTAAAGAAAATCACCCATTGGTTTTATGAAAATACTATGTAAATCAGTGGTGATACCTCAGCAGCAGACAGAAAGAAAACTGGGCCTTGTATGCTGCTAGCAAGCCATTTGCCCAAAAATGCAGCGCCTCGTAATCGGATCAGAGTTCTCAGGAAAGGCCTCTGGGAGCCCCTCACTGCCTTCGCAGCATAAAGAGGGAGGGGTAATGAGTGTAAATCGAAGCAAGTGGGATGTGGTGACGGTGACACACGCCTCTAAGCCTTTAACCTCAGCACCCAGGGGGCAGAGGCCAGCAGATTTCTGCGTTCAAGGCCAGCCTGGTATACAAAGTGAGTTCCACGACAGCCAGGGCTGTGAGAACAAACCTGTCTTGAAAAATCAAAAAAAAGAAAAGAAAAAAGAATCTAAGTTGGACTTCTGTGAGATGGAGCCACAGGGATGGAGAGTGCAGTCCCGAGCTCTTGAGAGTGTGCAGCGCAGTCAAACACAAAGAATAATGGCTAGAAACTGAGTTGGCTGGGGAAAAAGTGATTTTTTTTTTCCATCTATTTCTTAAGTATGATTCCCAAACCCTCAAGGATCCTACAAACTTCTTGGACCATGAAGAGATATGGGAAGGTCAAACCAGGAGTGCCAGGCAGCCTGAGGGCTGCATGCCAGGCCAGAGAAACAGGCAGGCAGCAGGTGCGAGCTGTCCTCTTGGCAGAGCCTCAACACAAAAGATACTAGTACAGCTTCCTGGTGACTCTGCTGCTCCTTTCCTTAATCCTTCCCTGCACTGTCCTGGGCCACCCGCAGTGCCTGCTCGGAGACATTTGAAGCCTGCACCTTTTCTTAAGGAGTTTAGAGTCCAGTAAGGAGATAATGGGAGGCCGGGCAATGGTGGTGCATGTCTTTAATCCCGGCAATTTGGGAGGCAGAGGCAGACCGATCTCTGAGTTAGAGGCCAGACTGATCTACAGAGTGAGTTCCAGAACAGCCAAAGCTATACACAGAGAAACCCTGTCTCAAAAAAAAAAGCAAACAGCAAAAAAAAAAAGATGATGACAGGAACATTTGAAAATGGCTATATCTGTGGACTGCACCCTGCCCAAATTAGGAGAGACTTGTTCGTGGTAGCAGTCAGATAGGTTGAGAAGGAGGGCAGAGGCTCAGAGGAGGAACTCTGCTGGCACAGAGGACCCATGAGCCTTGTGCAGTGGTTCAAGCCCACAGTGCCATGAAGATGAAGCAGAACTAGTAGGTAGAGTTCATGAAGAAAAGTCCTTACTGGGTAACCTCTAAGGTTTGTGCTCTACCTGGAAGAGTTCAAGGTGGGAAGGAGATTCAGCCAGATTCACAGGAAGATCTAGAACCATCTGGAGAGGGGCAGTCTGTAGAGCCGGCCTTCCTTTATCTGGGTCCCAAGCCCTGTACTGAACTGAGATGAGGCATGGAAGACCTCACTGGTGAGATTAGCAAATGACCAAATCAGCAAATCAGTGGATTTGGGGGAAAGAAGGGTCCTGCTACATCCAGCTTTGAAAGCAGCAAACCTAAGGTTCTTCAGTCAAACCCACCAGGGTGACACCTTTTCCCAGTCCTGACCTGGCCGGTGAGGAGAGTTGTATTTGGAAGCCATGAGTGTGAGGAATGTACCCACCTCTGCTACCCAGCTGCAGGCAGGCTTTAGCACTTCCTCTCAGCTCTGGGACTTGATTCTAAAGTTGTCTGAGGTAGCCTGGTGAGTACCCAAACCCTGCAGAAGAGTCACTAAGGTCGAGGAAGTGTCCTCCTCCCTCCCCCCAAGTACAACTGGAGATTTGTTGTGTATTTGGAATCAGGGTGGGGGCAGTTAGGACCTTGGGAATTCTTGTAACAGGTGCTTCAGCCATTCTCGTCTCTCATAGAAAGCTACATTTTCTTAAAAGCAGTTTTATTCAGATAACACTGGTGGAAGATAAGTGTTAAACAGGGAAAACATATTCACGATACTTAGGGATAATGTTGCTCCAAGTTTCCTCCCACGTGTGAACACATGGGAGCCGTGCACCATTTCTATTCACTTTTTCTACCTCTTCCCCAAAGCCATAGCAGTGACCATGTGACCTGGCAATGCTCTGAGTAACATAGGGAGCTTGGTTCTGTGATTACCCAGTTGTATCACCTCACCGCTTCTGATTTGTGTGGTCTAGATGTAAAAGGGGCTTCAGATAAAGAAGTAAATAGAATGTCTGCGCGGCAGTCTCATTCCCACCCCAGCTAGATCCCAGTAGTCTTCTTAGGATCTCCAAGGTAGTCACCTTCACAGACTGTGACCTGAGTACCTAATACCCACTGTTCCCAATAGGCCCTGACCACGACCCTGGCTCAGAGCTGAGGGCCGCCGTCCTGCTACCAGAGGCCCAACATGCCCATTACGCCTTACCCATAGGAAAAGGCTAGAACGGAAAGTAGGGAGTGAGCCTTGAAGGAAGAGCAGCCAGGCCCGGGGCACAGTTACCTGCCTTCCTCTCTGCACCTCCAGACTTGTGGTGTATGTGCTTGTGGCCAGCGCAGCAGATTGGTCCAAGTCCGGAGTGTGTGGTTTTACATGCCAGATCCAGGTCAGCAACAAAATGAGTATCACAGAGGCAAATAGGAGCCAGAGGAGACCCAGAATATAAAAAACCAGGGGGAGGAGGCAGCAAAAGTCAGAATTGAGAAAAGGGTCACGTTTGGAAGTATTAGAATTTGCTTGAACCATCTCTTGGAAAGTTATGAAGCTGTTCACTTCTGGGATTCCTGTAATAGGTTCGGGGGTAGGGAGTAAAGTGAGTTCTGTGGTGGCCAGGGCAGTAATGAAGAGTGTCACTCCAGTAAACACTGGAGTGGTTGGGGTAGTGCTGCTGGGCTCTGGGGTAGTTGGAGTGGGGGTGGAAGGCACTGGAGCACTGGGCTCTGGGGTAGTCAGGGAGGAAGCAGTGGATTCTGGAATAGTCGGTGTGGAGGTGGTAAGCATTGGTGTGATGCTGGGCTCCGGGGTAGTCAGGGTGGTAGTAGCTGACACTGGGTGGGTGCTGGACTCTGGGGTAGCCAGGGTGGAAGTGGTGGGCTCTGGAATAGTTGGAGTAGAACTGGTAAGCATTGGTATGGAGTGGGGCTCTGGAGTAGCCAGGGTAGAAGTGGTAGGCACTGGGGTAGGGCTGGTCTTTGGGGTAGCTGGGGTGGAAGTGGTAGGTATTGGGGTGGTAGGTGTAGTATTGAGTTTTAGATTATAAAGAGGTGTGCTGGGCTGCGTGGTCTGTGGGAGTGTGGTGAGACCTGGAATCTGTATGTGGGTGGATGTGGACTGTTTTTTAGTAGGTTTGTGGGTTGGAGGCCAAGAAGGCATTTGGCTGTCTGGAGAAGTAGGAAACTCTAAGAGTTGGCCCCAGTGGGTAGTATGGGCATTAGTGTTAGTAGAAAACTTGACCTCTGCCCTTGTAGCAGGTACTTCAGAGACTTCAGAGTCATACTCATCATAGTCTGTGGAATCCCTATCACTACTGGTAGGGCAGTTCTCCCCTTGGTAGGCGAAGACAGGTGCGTAGCCCAAATTGGCACATCGTACACTGGCCACATTAGGGGTCATAGCCTTGACATCCACACCCTCCTTCCATAAGTAGACATTGTTGGAATTTTGCTTGAGCCAGTTTCGGAGGTAGAGAATCTCACAGTCACAGTACCAGCTGTTGGCATGAAGAAAAACATATGGCAAGAAGAGGGTCCCAAAGAAGCCCCTTGGAACTGTACGAAGCCAGTTCCCTTGAAGGTAAAGGGTGTCAAGATCTCCCAGCCCATCTAGGAGCCCATGGGGCAGCTCACGTAGGTGGTTGTTGGCCAGATTGAGTTTCTTCAGATTGGTTGTAGACACCAAGAGCCCGGGGGGCAGACTCTTCAGATGATTGTTCTGCAGGTAGAGCTCCTGCAGTTGGCTTAGGCCTTCCAGGACACCGGGAGACAGTGAGCCCAGCTGGTTGAAGGAGAGGTCAAGGATAGTGAGTGCAGGCAGTGCCTGTCCTAGGGAGGGCAGACTTTGCAGGCTGTTGTGGGATAAATGCAGGTTCTCCAGTTTGGACAGTTTCTCACTGGTCTGCAGGCTGGTCAGCTCACATTCATCCAGGTATAGCCGAGTGAGGTGAGTGAACTGTGCCACGGAGGCTGTGGAGAAGGTAACCAGTTTGTTCTTGGTCAGGAAGAGGATGCCTGTGTCTGCTGGCAGGTCTGTGGGCAATGCTGTCAGCTTCTGGTTCTCACAGTTTACTTCCAGCAGGCTGGTCACTTGGGAGATGTCACAAGGGGGCTGGGAACGTAAGGGACTTGGCAGCAAGAACAGCAAGACGAAGAGAGCCATAGGAACCTGTGGGCAAAGGGAGTTTAAAGGATTACCGCCCTGGTCCTTGGCAAATTTTTCTAGGCTCCAACCCTTCACTGCTGTAGCTCTTAAGATCACTTCCAGAAACAGCTTCGCTCCCTCCCAGACTTTCCCCTTCTCTTCTACCCTGTCCTCAGTCCTTAGTTCTTATTCCCTCCTCAGATCTTCCTCTTCTAAACCCAGCCCCAGCTTACCGTCAGGCAGAAAGACCTCTGAAGGCACAGAGCTTCTTCCAGGGTGTGACTTGGTCCTTCTCTCTTCTAGTTCCAAGGAGAGCCAGGCCAAGAGCAGGAAGGAGATAGAAATAGAAACGGGGAGGAAATGACAACCTGATAACCACCTCCTGCCACCCAGGGGACCATCTCCCTCCCGGGCACAGGCCCTTATCACCTCCCTCCACAGCTTTCCCCAGGACCCTCCTTTGGTTTTACACTCTCCCTTCCTTTCCTTCCACCCTGGAGAGATCTAGAGACTCTCTGGCCACCAACTTTGTGCAGCTTCCAAATGCCTCTTCACGTGTTACCCTCTCTCCTCCATAGCTGTTCTTAGAGGTGCCCGGTTTGCCTTCACTACTTCCTTACACCTACTGCCACCTCTCCTAGCCCTCAACTGATTCCCTCTGCAGCCTGAGACTGCTGGCACCCCTATTCTGTATCCACTGGATACGTTATTGTTACTGCTACTCTAAACTGTTTCTGCAGCATCCATACCCAGTGTTACTTTCTCCAGGGGACGTGACAGTGACATTCATTTTCTTGGTTTTCCTCTTGCTTGTGTGTTGGTCCTTCTCAGACTTCTCTGTCGGTCCCTCTTCCTTTCTGGAGTATTCTTTGACTGGCTTAACATGTACTCCACAAGTGCCTTGGACATATTTTGCTGCACCTTTAATCACCACCTGTGGCCCAGACTCATTTTGATCTCTGCTATGTACCCTTTTTCCTGAGGTCTAGATACTTATGCCTGATTGTCGCTTAGACTTCTTTTACATGTTCTACAAGTACAGAAACAGTGTACCTCCTTTGAGAGGCTCAAGTAGGAAGATCATGAGTTTGAAGCTGGCTTGGGCTACAAAGACCCTTCTCATAAAAAAACAAACAAACAAACAAAAACAACTAAAACCAAAACTTCAATATATTAAGAATTGACTTCATTATCAAAATAGCTTCATCTACTAGCCATGGAGGTGCAGGACTGTCTACTGCTAGTCCTTAGGAAGCAGAGGCAGGAAGATCATGAATTCAGGGCCAGCCTGGGCTTTATACTGAGACTTTATTTCCAAAGAAACTCACAGAAAAATAGTATTCTTCTGTTGTCCACAACCACTCATTTACCTGATCATTCTAAACACTCCCAATACCACTGCCTTCTTCGGACTCTACCCATTATGGAGACTTGCTGAAATAACTCTGGTTTCTTTCATATCTCTCCAACCCCCTCCCCAGCCCAAGGCACTATCTTCCCTTTCCCAGTAGCCTTCTGGTTGATCTCTGAAAAATCTAACTTCCCCTCTGTTTCCCATGGGAGAACTGCAAGTGTCAACTACGTGAACCCACCAATGGCTACTGACAACTCTCAGCAGGCAGTCTGAAGTACCTGCCTTGCTCTTCAGAGTCTTACAAGATCGGAATCTTGCCTACCTACCTGCTCAGCCCCCTTGTTTAGCGCTGTCCCCTCTTCTGGTTATTCTTTCCTGTACTTGAACTTTCACTCATTACCTTTTCTAACTCTTAAATATCTGGTAAATTCCAGTGCAAAATCCATTCCTCTAGAAACTTCTGATTTTCAAGCCTGGGTTAGTTGTCTGTTGGGCCACTGCCCCATCTAATGATGTAACGATCCTACCTACCCAGATGGGGTATCATGAGCATAGCTTGCCCCTCTCTAATGGCTAGGCAAGGGGCAGACACAGCTGAATGCAGCTAAGTCATAGACTTGCCATTTGTATCACTTGCTGGATGGAACAACTAAGGCAGTATCCAGAGGCGAGGCAGAAGGAAGCATAGATGGCAGCTATGCTGAGGAACTCTTGACGTTGTTGGTTTTTCTACTGCATTGCTATCACTTTTCAGATAGAAGCTGCAGGGAAAAGATACATCACCTAGGCCAGTGTAATAGTGCACATCTTCAACCCCAGTACTTGATCAAAAACAAAACAAAAAAAAAAACATTGGCTATAGCCAGGCAATGTGGCATGTGCCTGTAGCTTTAGTTCCTAGGCTGAGATGAGAGCTCCATACCAGCCTGGGCAAAACAGTAATACCATGTCTTGTGGTGCAGGTGGTGATGTGTACCTGTAATCCCAGCAATTATCAGGAGGCTGAGGCAGGAGGATTGCTAAAATGAGGTCGGTTTAGGCTACAAAATTAGTTTGGGGCCAATCTGAACTACATAACAAGATTCTGTCTCAACCCCCAAACAAAAACAGAACAGCACTGGCTACTTCAAAGACTTTCTGGGCAGAAAAGCCAGACGTGGAGTTATGTGACCAGGAACCGTTCCCAGAACCATGCTGCAGAACCAGTCTGGTGAGCAGAACTCTCCTGTGCCGCAAGACCAAGTCACTGAAGCTTGCATTGCCCCTGCCGCTGAGCCAGACATTGTTCCATGACATCCAGTGCTGCAGACTCCCACACTGTCCTTCCTTCTCTGTGATTAGATACTAATGGAAGCCTGGGTGTGAGTCTGGTTGGTCACATGCCTGGTGACCCAACTGCCAGGAAAGCCCACAAAGTCAAATTTTTGGTTATTTTCAACTTCTGAAATAGGAAGTATGTTCTGTTTCTCCAAAGATCTGAAAGTTGAAGAAACTTCCAAACAGAGAAGAGGTTCTGGTTTTTTTATGCCTACTAAGTGGTCTTGTGTTTAACTTCCTTTAGGTGTCAGCTCCTGTACCAGGGCCCCAGAGACTCTTTCCTTCCGCCATGTGGGGCCCAGGAATCATCCTTGGGTCATCAGGCTGTCAAGCCCCTTTTACCTGAGGAGCCATCTGGTCAGCCCTGATTTATATTTGCTAATAGAATGATCTGTTTCAGTTAGATGTTCAAATTACTATTGTGTTTATACTTTTTAAATAATTTGTTTTTCTAAAAGATTATTTTTATATGCACTAATGTTTTGCTTGCATGTATGTCTGTGTGAAGATGTCAGATCTTGTGGATCTGGACTTACAGACAGTTGTGAGCTGCCGTGTGGGTGCTGAAATTTGAACCCAGGTCCTTTGGAAGAGCAGCCAGTGCTCTTCACTGGTGAGCCATCTTTCTAGCCCCTACATTTATATTGTTTGTTTGTTTTTGTGGTTTTTCAAGACAAGGTTTCTTTCTCTGTAGCTTTGGAACCTGTCCTGGAACTAGCTCTAGTAGACCAGGCTGGCCTTGAACTCACAGAGACACACCCACCTCTGCCTCTGGAATGCTGCATTTAAGGGTGTGTGCTACCACCACCACCACCACCACCACCGGCCCTGGAATTGGCTTTGTAGACCAGGCTGTCCTTGAATTCACAGAGATCTGTCTTCCCTTGCTTCCAGAATTATGGGGTTGGATTTAAGGCTTGCATCACCACTGCCTGGCTATTAAAAAAAAGTTTTCAAATGAAAATCTTTTAAGTTTTATTTTTTTCCTGTTTTAGACAGGATTTCTCTATGTAGCCTTGTCTGTCCTGGGAACTTGCTATATAGACCAGGCTGGCCTTGAACTCATAAAGATCTACCTACTTCTGCCTTCCAAATGCTGGGACTAAAGGTATTTGCAACCACTGCTGACTCATTAATATTTTAATATAAATGTATTGAATCTATAACAGAAACTGATACTGTTTCTTTTTTGAGTCATGCTGGAAATTAAACTGAGGTCCTCTCAAGAGTAGCACACACTCTAACCACTGAGAAACCTCGCTAGTTCCCTCATGATATTTGTTTTTATTTGAGGCAGGGTCTCACTAGCCCAGGCTAACCTTGAACTTGCTATTTTGTTTATTTTATTAGCCTTGAATAGGTTTTTTGCTGTTTTAGTTTTTAAAAATTTTAAATTATTTCATGTTAAGCATATAGATGTTTTGCCTGAACGTGTGTATGTGTAACCTATACATGCCTAGTGCTCACAATGGCAGGAAGATGGCTATGAGTTTGAGGCCATCCTAGTCTACACAGTGAGTTCCAGGCTAGCTAGGGCTACGTAGTGAGACCCTGTGTCAAGAGAACTAACAAGGGCTGGAGAGATGACTCAGTGGTTGAGAGAACTGGCTGCTCTTTCAGAGGACCCTGGTTCAATCCTCAGCACCCAAATGGCAGCTTGCAACTGTCTGTAACTCCAATTCCAGGGGATCTGACACCTTCACACCAATGCATATAAAATAAATAATAAAAAAGAAAGCAAACAACAAAAACAAACAAGAATAAACATTTTTAGGATTCATTTTTTTGTGTCTTGATTTCATTCTTTGGGAATACTTTTGCTGGAAACAGGATTCTGTATTAGCAATTCTGTTTTGTTTTTTTCAGCACTTGAAAAACATTGTGTGGGGCTGGAGAGATGGCTCAGAGAAGAGCACTGGCTGCTCTTCCAGAGGCCCTGAGTTCAATTCCCAGCACCCACATGGTGGCTCACAACCATACACACACACACACACACACACATATATTGGTTTTTCAAGACAGGGTTTCTCTGTGGTTTTGGAGCCTGTCCTGGAACTAGCTCTTGTAGACCAGGCTGGTCTCGAACTCACAGAGTCACAACCATCTATAATGAGCTCTGGTGCCCTTGTCGTCTAACATATAGACAGAACACTGTATACATAATAAATAAATAATATCTTTAAAAAGGAGAAAAAAGAGAAACATTGTGCTCGGGCTAAGAAAGTCATTTGTTTGATAGAGTGCTTGCCTATCAAGCAAGTAGCCCTAGGTTGGAGCCCAGCCCTGAACAGAATGGGAGTGGTGGCACTTACTAACCTGTAATTCCCGCACAGGGGAGCTGGAGGCAGGAGGAAGATCAGGAGTTCAAGGTTATCCTTGCCTGAGGCCAGCGTGGAATACTTGAAGTCTCAAAAACAGGTGAGGAGTGCGGCTGGAAACGACTCAGTCGGGAGGAGCAGGCGCGGCTGTTGCCGAGGACCTGGGTTTGCTTACTGACACCCGGGTGATGACCCACAACTGTCCACAGCTCCAGTTCCAGAGGAACCAGATACTCTTCTGACTTCCTCATGCACCCACCATTCCCACGGCAGATATGCAGACACATAAAATAAAAAAGGCTTTTGAAAAAAATTTTAGTTTGGAAAAAACTGCAATCATGAGCCAGGCATAGTTATCCTAGTCTGTAGTCCCACCACCGTGGAAACTGAGGCAGGAAGAGTGTGAGACTTTCAAACCAACCTGGGCTACATGATGTCTTGGAATGGAGTTCTTTGGGTTTAGCCCATTTGGGGTTGCCATAGTTTCATTTCTGTAGCTGTAATAAAACACTCTGGCTGGGCAGTTGTGGCACACACCTTTAATCCCAGCCTCGGGATGCAGAAGCAGGAGGATCTATCTATCTAGTCAGCCTGGTCTACAAAGTGAGTTCCAGAACATCCAAGGTTGTTACACATGATAGATAGATAGATGATAGATAGATAGATAGATAGATAGATAGATAGATAGTTCACTCAGACCAAAAGGAAAAGCAGCCTGGGGGAGGAAAAGATTTATTTGGCTTATACTTCCAGGTCACAGCCCACCAATGAGAGGAGTCACCAGGAGCTGAAACAGGAGGTGGAAACAAATCATGAAGGAGCCCTACTGTTGTTGTTGGTTTTGTTTGTTTTTTTTTTTTTTTTTCGAGACAGGGTTTCTCTGTAGCTTTTGGTTCCTGTCCTGGAACTAGCTCTTGTAGACCAGGCTAGCCTTGAACTCACAGAGATCCGCCTGCCTCTGCCTCCCAAGTGCTGGGATTAAAGGCGTACGCCACCACCGCCCAGCTAGGAGCCCTACTGTTGGCTTGCTTCTCTGGCTCATGGGTAGGCATGTGCATAGCTAGCTTTTAAATTTTCTTTTTAATTTATGCACATGTGTGTGAACCTATATAAATCACATGTGCAGGAGCCCTCTGAGGCCAGAAGAAGGCCCCAAATCCCCTGGAACTGGAGTTACAGATGTTTGTGAGCCACCACGTGGGCACTGGGAACCGAACCCCAGTCCTCTGGAGAAGCCAATGCTTCTAACCATGGAGACATCTCTCCATCCCTGTTTCTCTTGCACTTGCTCCCTCCCTCCCTTTCTTTTCCACCTCTCACCCTTGGTCTCTGTCCCCATTCCTTTCTTCCTCTCTCTCTCTCTCCTTCCTTCCATTCTTCCCTTTCTTAGATAGAGTCTCACTATGTAACCCAGATAATTTACACTCAGTCCTGCCTCAGCCTCCAGAGTGCTGGGGTTTTAGGATCTCCAGCAGGTGGTTGTAAATGGCTGGTCCCTTATCAGCCTAGACTTCTCGGAGCTTTTGTCTTATTCTCCCTGGTGCTATTCCTCCTTCTCCTCCTCTTCCTCCTCCTCCTCTTCTTCCCCACCCCCTCCGCCAAACAGCCCAGGATAGCCTTGCCTGCCTCCTTCCTTCCATCCATACTGGGGTTTGAACCCAGGCCCTCCCACTTGCACTGTATCCCTAGCTCTCATACGTGGATTTCGTCATGGAGTTTCAAGGCAGTTTTTCAGATAACCCTAACATCTTCATCTTTTGGGGCTGGGGCTCTGTTGACATTTAGCTTTACATCTTCCTGGTTCTTGGTATGATCATTTCTTCTCAGTGAAACTTCACCCACTCCTGAAATTTGTGTTTCAGGCCTCTCTTCCAGCTGTCTTCCTGTGGTCCTGCACTCTCAATGGGAGGATGTACTGCCTGATGTCAGGTGCAGGAAGGAGGCTGGGCTGCGTGGTTGCAGTGGTGCCCACCTGCTGTAGTGCTAATGGTTTTTGTTTTGTTTTGTTTTGGTTCTGAGACAGGGTCTTTTTAATATAACCCTGCCTGTCCTGGAACTCACCATGTAGACCAGGCTGGGCTTGAACTCACAGCGCTCCTCCTGCCTCTGCATTCCACATGCTGGGATCAAAGGTGTGAGCCACCACACCCAGGTGCTTCTAACGTTCGGGAGTCTAGGGCAGAAAGATCATTGAGACCAGGAGTTGGGAGGCTAGTTTGGGCAAAATGTTAAAACCAACCCTGTCTAGCCAGGCGGTGGTGGCGCACGCCTTTAATCCCAGCACTCGGGAGGCAGAGGCAGGCGGATCTCTGTGAGTTCGAGGCCAGCCTGGTCTACAAGAGCTAGTGCCAGGACAGGCTCCAAAGCCACAGAGAAACCCTGTCTCGAAAAACTAAAAAAAAAAAAAAAAAAAAAAAATCCTGTCTAAAAAAGACAGAGGACAAAGAGGGAGGGAGAAGGAAGCGGGGATGGGGTTTAGGAATCAATTCTGAGTCAGACGAAGTCCGTACTTGTGAAGTAGAATGTTTTCAGCAGTGTCTACATGGCTGTCACTCATTAAACTGTGACCTGCGATCTACTTGGGATCTCTTTGGACTCTAACAGGAGCAGTCTCTCGGCAGGGCTTTCTGTGCTTTGTTGGCTTTAGCCCTGGACCAAGTCCAGGAGGGACTTTGCTCACTCTGGGCCGGATTAGTTACTGTATAAATTCCTACAGCCCCTGACCTGGGACACTTGGCTCTCTCTGTGTATGGGGTTTATTTTACTGTTGTTTCTGTTTTTGAAGTAGGTTCTTGGCTCTGTAGCCCAGGCTGGCCTCAAACTCCTCCTTCCTCGGTCTCAAGTGCTAGGATTACAGACGTTTGCCACCACATTCAGTTTTATGCTTCCTTTAATATCGTTTTATTATAACGCAGCTTTTTGGTAGGCAGATTGCAGGTTGCTAGGGTTAAATTTAGGACTCCTTTTGAGGTTTATTATGTTTATGTGTTTGCCGGCAGGTATGCATGTCTGGTGCCCCCTGGGGACCAGAGAGGCTATAAACATGACCTGCAAACTGACCTTACCAGTTGTCATGCCAGTGTTGATGGGGGAAATTTCCCAAGGCCCCACCCCTAGATGAAAAGCTACAGTCAGTGGTTGCTGAAGGAGTGATGAGCCCCCTATTTGGTTGTCCAATCCAAGTGGTCATCCCTAAACATGACATAGGAGCAACACTCAATGGACAAGATTCAAGTTTAACTCTTAGCACCTACATAGTGGCTCACAACTATCTGTAACTCCAGTTCCAGGAGATCCAATGCCCTCTCTTGACTTTTTTGTGCTTGGGGAATGCACATTATATATAATATTTGTATGTATTATATGATGCACATATATGCATACTTTTTAGGCAAAACATTCATTCATGTAAAATGAAATTTAAGAAATCTCTCTATGGGTTGGGGGATCGCTCAGTGGTTAAGAGCACTGACTGCTCTTGCAGAGGACCTGGGTTTGATTCCCAGCACCCACACGGAGGCTCACAACTGTCTGTAGTTCTAGTTCTTCAGTTCTTCTGGTGTCCATGGGCACATGGCACATAGACATACATGCAGGCAAAACATTCATACACATAAAATACCACCCTAAATCCCCACCCTGCCCCCACCCCCTGGAAACAGAATGTAACCTCAGCCGCTGCTCCAGCGCCGTGTATACTGTGATAATATGGACTAAGCCTGTGAAACCAAGTGTTCTGAAGAGAGCAGACATCCTGGGGTTTACTGCCCAGTGTTTGACAGCACCAAGACTCACATGTGGCTAATTAAAGACTAGAAACCAGCGTAATTAGGTAAGCCCAATGCTCAGCTGCTAGGAGAAGCCAGAAGAAATCCAGCCTCAGGGTCATCTGGAAGCCTGAGAGTCACGTTATCATCAGCGTGGGTTTCCAAGCTGTGTGGGCCTCCTGCTATCGCAAAAACTTTTAAAGATCCTTATTAAATCCAGACCTACCACCTTAACACCCCCCCCAAAAAAAATATAAAAAGGAAAAAGGAAGCCAAACAGTGGTGGTGCACACCTTTAATTCAAGCACTTGAAAGGCAGAGGCAGGTGGATCTCTGTGAGTCCGAGGCCAGCCTGGTTTGCAGAGTGAGTTCTAGGACAGGCAGAACTACACAGAGAAACCCTGTCTCAAAATAAATAAGTAAAAATTTAAAAAAAAAAAGGGGGGGGGAGAAGGAATGTCCTTATATTTTTTTTTATCTAGACTGTTGCCTGAAGGTACCGTCCACAGTCACGGTGGGCCTTCCCACATCAGTCAAGGCAATCAGGAGAGTTCAGGAGCCAGGAGCGGTGCCCTACACAGCTGATTCTAATCTGTGACGCTGTGACCTTAGAACCAGTAGTAATACCTGTAATCCTATTCAGGAGACTGGAACAGGAAGATCCCCACGACCTAACACTAGTGTGTTCAAGGTCAGCCTAAGCTAAATAGTGAATTTTTACTGTCTTGTTTTAATTTTGAAACAGCATCTATCTCTGTCTCTCTTTTCCCCATAGCCCTCTCCATAACCCTGCCTGTCCTGGAACTCACTGCATAGACCAGGCTGACCTCAGAGTCATGAAATCTCTGCCTCCTGAGTGCTCAGATTAAAGCCATGACTGACTTTTTTTTTTTAAGTTAATTCATTGATTGTGTGTACGTGTAGGTACCTGTGTGTCACGGTGCGTGTGTGGAAGTCAGAGGACAGACAAGCCTGGGAGTTGTCGTTGTCTGCCTTGTCTTTGTTTTGGTTGCTGTGCTGTGTACTCTGGGCAATCTGGAGACTCTTTGGGAGTCTTCTGCCTCCCACGTCACGCTGAGAACGCTGGCTCGGTGGGCGCGCATTACTTCTAGCTTCTCTCTTGAGTTATGGGGGATCAGACTCTGGTCTTCAAGTTTGTGCACTGAGTACCTCTATCGGCCAACACATCTGTCTGCTTGTTTCTTTTGAAGACAAGCTCACTCTTTAGCCTAGGCTGACCTTGAACACACTAGTCTCAGGTCCTGGGATCTTCCTGTCTTGGTCTCCTGAGGATTACAGGTGTTAATTACCACAGATGGAATCACCTGTGTAGGAAGCCTCTCCTGAACTGTCCCGACTGCCTTGGTGGATGTGGGAAGGCCCACCGTGACTGTGGACGGTACCTTCAGGCAGTAGTCCAGATAAAAAGGGTGTGCAGGAGGACAAACGGACAATCCTTCTCTTGCCTTGTGCTGGTTTGGCCTCCTCTTGCCCTGTTTCTGCCGCTGAGTCCTTCACTGATGGCCTGCAGGCCAGTCCTTCATTGTGGAGTAGGGAACTGTCTGGCTTCCAGTCAGGTTGGGACTACTGAGCCACTCCACCTTGTGGACTGAAAAACTAC